CCCCAATTAAATGTTTTCATTGTAAGAGTTGCTGATGTCATGGTGTCTCTTCAAAGCAATAAAAACCCTAAGGCACCGGGCGGTGGTGGCGCACGCCTTTAATCCCAGCACTCGGGAGGCAGAGGCAGGCGGATCTCTGTGAGTTCGAGACTAGCCTGGTCTACAAGAGCTAGTGCCAGGACAGGCTCCAAAACCACAGAGAAACCCTGTCTCGAAAAAACCAAAAAAAAAAAACAAAAAAAACCCTAAGGCACTGACCTAAAGAAAAACACCAAGCAGAATAGATTCAAGCTCTAATGTGATCAGGTGGTGGTGGCACAAACCTTTAATACCAGCACTCAGGAGACAAGAGGATGTCTGAGTTCAAGGCCAGCCTGGTCCTCAGAGCTGTCCTAGCTGCAGCTATTACAGAGAAACACTGCCTCCAAAAGAAAAGAGAAAAGAAACAAAACCGAGGGCTGAAAACAAAAAATAGAAACAAAGAGAATATAAAGAATCAATGAAGCAAAGTGTTGGTTCTTTGAGAAAATTAACAAGATAGACAACCCTTACCCAAACTAACTCAAAAGAGGGAGAGAGAGTATCAAAATTAACAAAATCAGAAATAAAATGGAGGATATAACAAGAGACACTGAGGAAATCTAAAAAACCATTCTTCAAAAACCTATACTCCAACAGACAGTGGTGACCCATGCCTTTAATACCAGCACTCAGGAGGCAGAGACAGGAAGAACTCTGAGTTCAAGGCCAGTTTGTCCAAGTTCCAGGACAGCCAGGGCTACACAGAGAAACCCTGTCTTGAAAAACAGACCAAAAAAAAAAGCCTGTACTCTACAAAACTGGGAAATCTCAAAGAAATGGATGGATAACTTTCTTGATAAACCACTTACCAAAGTTAAATCAAGATCAGATAAAAATTCAAACAGACCTATAACCCATGAAGAAATGGAAAAATTAAAGGACTTCAAAGCAAAAAAAAAAAAAATGCCCAGGGCCAAACAGTTTTAGCACAGAACTCTTATCAGACTTTCAAAGAAGAGAGAGCTAATACCTGTTGTGCCTATACCACGAGAACCCCAAACAAGAATACCAAACACTTGGTCCACTATCCAACAATCCAGCACAATGGGTGGAAGAGAGCAGCCCTGAGCATTTATAGATTAGGGTTAATATAGGGAAAATCACAAGTGGGTCACAGCCTTCCTTGTCAGAGGGTCTTGGGGTAGCTGACATTTAACCTGACCAGTTACAGTGAGGGGAAGTACAGAACTAAAGAGTAGTTAAAAATACATCAGGCATTGTTGAGCTGTCATTAGCCGTGTGATTAGTGGTCATCAATCATACCCTCATCTGTCATACCCAGGTGGTTCGACTTGTTTTAAGAACTTGGGTGAACTTGGTATCTTGGAGAATGTATAGGAGGGGTGGTCTTCGTTTAGTTCAAATTTGGCCCTCCCATACCAATACTCCTCAAATTATTCCACACAACAGAAACAGAAGGAACATTGCCAGATTCACTTTATGAGACCACAGTAATCCTGATACCTAAACCACATAAAGATTCAACAAAAAGGATCATAGAGCAGTTTCCCTCATGAACACTGATGCAAAATAATAAAATACAGGCAAAGTGAATCCAACAACACATCAAAGAATTCATCCACCATGATCAAGTGGGCTTCATCCTGAAGATGTAGGGATAGTTCAACACAGGAAAATCTGTCAATATAATCCACCATATAATCATACTTAGATGACAAAAAAGCCTTTGACAAAACTAAACACCCCTTCATGATGTAAGTCTTGGAAAGAGTAAAGAACATACCTCAACATAATAAAAGCAACTTTCAACAAGCCTATAGCCAACATCAAATTAAATGGAGAGAAAATCAAATCAACCCACTAAAAGCAGAAACAAGACAAGGCTGTCCACTCTCTCCATATCTATTCAGTACTTAAAGTTCTAGTGAGAGCAATGAGAGAACTAAAGATCATGGGGATACAAAACAGAAAGAAGTCAAAATATTGTTATCTGCAAATGATATGATAGTATACATAAGCAACCCCAAAAATTCTATGAGGTAACTCCAATAGCTGATAAAAAAAACTTTCAGCAGGGCTGGAGAGATGGCTCAGCGGTTAAGAGCATTGCCTGCTCTTCCAAAGGTCCTGAGTTCAAGTCCCAGCAATCACATGGTGGCTTACAACCATCTGAAATGAGGTCTGGTGCCCTCTTCTGGCCTTCAGGCATACACGCAGAAAGAATATTTTATGCATAATAAATAAATAAATAAATTATAAAAAAAACTTTCAGCAAACTGCTGGATACAAGATTAACTCAAAAAACAAGATATCAGGGGCTGGAGAGATGGCTCAGAGGTTAAGAGCATTGCCTGCTCTTCCAAAGGTCCTGAGTTCAATTCCCAGCAACCACATGGTGGCTCACAACCATCTGTAATGGGGTCTGGTGCCCTCTTCTGGCCATCAGGCATACACACAGACAGAATATTGTATACATGATAAATAAATAAATAAATAAATATTTAAAAAAAAACAAGATATCAGTAGCCCTTCTATATACAAATGACAAATGAACTAAGAAAGAAATTAGGGAAACAACCTTCACAATAGCCACAAACAATATAAAATATCTTGGGTTAACTCTAAACCAAGCAAGTGAAAGATTTGTAAGATTAAAAGCTTCAAGTCTCTGAAGAAAGTAATCAAAGACATCAGTAGACAGAAAGATTTTCCATGCTCACGAATGGGTAGGATCAACATAGTAAAAATGGCCATCCTACCAAAAGCAATCTATAGACTCCACTTAATCCCCAGTAAAATTCCAACACAATTCTCTTTTTAGAAATTTATTTAACTTTATGTCATGTACACTGGTATTAAGGTGTTAGATCTCATGCAACTGGAGTTACAAACAGTTGTGAGCTGCCATGTGGGTGCTGGGAATCGAACTCGAGTCTTCTGGAAGTGAAAGCAGCTAGTGCTTTTAACAGCTGAGCCATCTCTCCAGCGCCCCACCCCTCAACACAATTCTTTATAGACCTGGAAAGGATAATACTTACTTAACTTCATATGGAAAACAAGAAACCCAGGATAGCTAAAACAATCATGAATAATAAAAAGAACTTCTGGAGGTATCACTATCCCTGAATTCAAGCTGCACTACGAAGCTATAGTAATAAAAACTGCATGGTATTGGAATAAAAACAGGCAGTGGAATCAAATCAAAAACCCAAACATAAATTCATAGATCAATGGACACCTAATTTTAGATAAAGGAGCCAGAAAGACACTATGGAGGGGAAAAAAGCAACTTCAATAAATGGTGCTGGTCAAACTGGTTATCTGCATATAAAAGAGTGAAAATAGATCCATATCTATCGCCCTGGATAAAACCCAAGTCTAAGTAAATCAAAGACCTCAACATAAAACCAGATACACAGAACCTTAGAGAAGAGAAAGGGGGAAATATCCTTGAAAGCATTGGCACAGGAGGCAATTTCCTGAACAGAACACTGATAGCACAGGCACTAAGATCAACAACCAGTAAGTGGGACATCATGACACTGAAACCCTCTGGAAAGCAAAGGATGCCATCAAGAGGACCAAACAGCAACCTACAGAATGGAAAAAGATTTTCACCAACTCCACATCAGATAGAGGGTTAATATCCAAAATATATATAAAGAAACTAGATTATCAAGAAAACAAATAATCCAATTTTTAAAATGGGTACTGGGGCTGTAGCGATGCGGCAACAGTTAGGAGCACTGGCTGCTCTCTTCCAGAGGACCCCAGTTCAATTCCCAGCACCCATATGGCAGCTCACAACCATCTAAAACTTCAGTCTTGGGGATCCAGCATCTTTACATAGACATATAAGCAGGCAAAACACCAACAAACATAAAATAAAAATAATTTTTAAATGGGATACAAATCTAAACAGAATTCTCAATAAAGGAAACCAAAATGTCTAAGAAACAAAGAAATGTTTGACATCCTTAGCCATCAGGGAAATGCAAATCAAAACTGCTTTAGAGATTCCATATTACACTTGTCAAAATGGCTAAGATCAATAACACAAGTGACAGCTCATGCTGGCAAGAATGTGGAGCAAGGGTGAACACTCATTCATTCCTGGTATGAGTGCAAATTCATATAACTACTATGGAAATCAATATGGCATTTTCTCAGAAAACTGGAAATCAATCTTCCTCAAGACCAAGTTATACCACTCTTGGACATATGCCCAAAGGATGATACATCCTACCACAAAGACATGTGCTCAAATATGTTCATAGCAGCTTTATTCATAAGAGCCAGAAAATGGAAACAACATGGATATCTCTCAACCGAAAAATGAACAAAGAAAATGTGGTACATTTATACAATGGAGTATCATTCAGCTATTTAAAAACAAACATGGCATCATGAAATTTGCAGGCAGGCAAATGGAATTAGAAAAAACATCCTGACTGGGAAACCCAGACCCAAAAAGACAAACATGGAATGTACACACTTATAAGTAAACAGTAGTCAATTATAATCATGCTACAATCCACAGACCCAGAAATGTTGAGTAACAAGGAGGGTTCTAAGAGGACATATGAAACTCCCTGGGAAGGGGAAACAATAGATTTTGCAGGTGAACTGAAAACAGGAGAGATCAGGCAGAGGAGGGGAGGGAGTACAGGGTTGAGGTGGAAACCTAGACCAATAGAAACTCTCACTATTCTTTAAAGGTGACCCCAGCGAGCGCTCCTAGTAATGGAGGAGTCAGAGCCAAAATCGGAAATTCTCTATAACCAGGCAAGGCTCCCAGAGGTGGAAATGGGACACCAGGCCAGCCACAAAACCTTCAGCATATAATCTATCCCACCTACAAGATGTACTGGGAAAATAGACACACAGAACATTGGGGAATGGTCAGCCAATAACTGCTCTAACTGCCCACACAAGAGAAAGCCCATGCCCAACACTACCTGGAAGACCAGAAATGGGAGGCTGGATATAGCCCAGAGACCTATGATGGAGAAAGAAAAAAAAAATCAATAGAATGATTCCTAACAATATCCTTATATACTCATAGATCAGTGCCTAGCCCAATCGACATTAAAGAGACTACCTCTGGCAGCTGATGGAAGCAGATGCAGAGACCCACAGCCAAATTAGGAGAGAGAGCCCAAACTGAAGATCTCCATCAGGTCCTTCCCCTTGGTGCTTGGGGAATCCTGTGGAAGAGGGAGAGGAAGAAATGTAGGAGCCAGAGGGGTCAAGGATAACAGGAGAACATGGCCCACAGACTTCAACTAAGTATGGCTCGTAGGGGCCCACAGGTCAGTGCTAAATACTCTGCATATATGATATGGTTGTTAGCTTGATATTTTATGAGGCCCCTGAAGGTAGAAGTAGAGAATGTCTCTGATTCTTTTGTCTGCTCTTGAGACCTTTTTGTTCCTATTGGATTTAATGCCTGTAATTAAAAATCATACTGCTCTGTATGAAAGAACAGCTTCAATAGATTAAAAACTTTCAAGAGAGATCATAAAACAAATATTTTGATAAACTTCCATAAATGATCAAAGACCAAAGCTAACAATACAAATAAATGGCATTGAAATTGAGGGTTTGGTAGACTGAAGAGTAAAAACAACAATCATTTAAACAAAATTTTAGCATTCAGTTTAGCCTCTTCAGAAGGTAAATGTTCAGCTTCCAGGAATTGGAACTTTATCTCAGGTAAAACAAAATGCAAGATGGGTTGAGTGTACAGGGCCAGAAGGACAAATAGGAAAATTAAAACCATATGTTGCTAACATCGCAATGGATTGTGGGGGAGAAGGACATGATTTTTACAGCAATGGAAAACACAGATAAACATTCCTCCAATCTCAGAAACAAACCATAAACTAACATGTGCTTCTGATAAAAAATATTAAAAGGGATTATCAAGGATGTACATGAGCAGGGCATAACAGCTACTGGTGTTTCAAATGGTTAACTGAAAAACCTGTGTAGGAAGAACAATGGCCTTTGACCTCAAGGAAATTACAAGCATTAGAACAGCTCATACAGGAGCAGTTAAATGCTCAACATATTAAAGAATCAACCAGTCTTTGGATTTCTCCTATATTTGTTACTAAAAATAAATCTGGAAAATGAAGAATGTTAACAAATTTAAGAGCCATAAATAAGGTGATTGAGCCAATGTGCTCTCTACAGCCTGGAATTCCCTTGCCTTCTTTATTACCTAAGGGATGAACTAAAACAGTGATTGATTTTAAAGACTGTTTTATTACTATACCTTCACAAGAACAGGATAGAAAAGTTTGCCTTTCATAGTGTCTACTTATAATGGTTTCCAGCCTGTTAAAAGGTACCACTCGAAGATTCTTCCACAAGGAATGTTAAACACTCCCAATTTATTTCAATATTTTATACAATAGCTGTTAGAACTAATTTGTGAACAGTTTATTAAATCTACACTGTATGGATGCTATCTTATTGGCTGATTCAGAAACAGGTAATTTTAGAAACAATTTCTGAATAAGTGAAGAGAATTTTACCTTGTTGGGGATTATAAATTGCTCCTGAAAAAAACACAAGAGATCCTATTATTTAAGGTATAAGGTAGATTTACATAAAATTCAACCACGGAAAGTACAAATCAGAAGAAATCAATTACGAACTCAATAATTTTCAAAAATTGCTGAAAGAGGGGGCTGGAGAGATGGCTCAGAGGTTAAGAGCATTACCTGCTCTTCCAAAGGTCCTGAGTTCAATTCCCAGCAACCACATGGTGGCTCACAACCATCTGTAATGGGGTCTGGTGCCCTCTTCTGGCCTGCAGGCATACACACAGACAGAATATTGTATACATAATATATATATATATATATATATATATATATATATATATATATATATAAATTGCTTAAAGATATTAACTGGCTATGGCCCACAACTGGATTTATAACTCAAGAACTAAGTCATTTACTTCAAACTTTACATGGTGATAAGGACAGTCCAAGAAAACTACCAACTGAAACTCAGAGAATTGGCTCTGGTAGAAAAAAACAAAGGCTGTGCATGCAGATCACCTAGATCCAGAGCTTGTCTGCATTGATTACTTTACCCTCTACTCATTCTACTGTAGCAATTCCTATGTAGAGAAAAGATGATATCTTAGAATGGATATTTATCACATAGAGTAAAAACTTAAAAATCTGTTTTTTAAAAAAAATGGTTTCTATTCTGAAAAGAAAATTGAGACTTTAACAAAGAGCAGAAATAGGCCCAGCAGAAATTGTAGTACCTTTAATCAATGCTGAAATTGCCTCATTATGGGCAAAAAAATGAATATTGGCAAAGAGCTTGCAGTCATTTCTAGGGAGAAATTAGCAACAAACATCTCAAAAGCAAGAAACTTCAGTTTATAAAAAGAACCAATTGGATTCTCCCTCATATTGTAAAGGTAACATCAATTTATGGAGCCCCTACACTCTATACTGATGCAAATAAAACAGGAAAGGCAGGTTATGAGTCAGGAAAATTAAGAAAAGTGGCTCAAAACCCTTGATTCGGTTAAGAAATCAGAATTATATGCTGTTCTCATGGTGTTATTAAACTTTCCAGAACCTTTTAATACAGTTATTGACTTTCAATATACAGAATTGTTTTACATATTGAAGCTGCTGAACTTATTCCAGATGATCCAGAATTAACTTTGTTCTTCCTCAACTTGTGGCCCTTGCTGAGGCCCATGGCCATGGGTAGCGCAGGGCCATGGCTGCTGCTCTCCAATGGCAGCTACAACAGGAAGCAGAAGACTTTTACAATCTGTATGCTTCAGTGATTGACCATACTGTTTCAAGATCAATCCTCCCCTCCAGAGAGACAAATGAATGAATATATTTTCACACATCTGTTTGAATGCATAAAATACCTACCACAAAGGCAGCAAGGCCAGAGACCAAAATTCTAAAACAAAGGAGTCTACAACGTTGAATCTTTGGACTTTTCCCCAGAGAATGGGGAATAGAGAGGTTGAGAAGTCAAGAAGGTCACATATGGTGGCACACACCTTTCTTTAATTTCAACACTGAAGAGGCAGGAGGATCTGTAAGTTTGAGGTCATCTTGGTCTACACAGCAAGACCTTTTCTCAGAAAGAGCTCTAGAGACAGACAGACAGACAGACACAGAGAAAGAGATATACCAAGCGAGCATTGAGATGAAGCTTCTAGACATTTGCTCAATTATGAATGAGAACAGTAAGGACTGAGTTGCTAAGCTATGATACTCAGTAAGTTAGGTTTATTAAATGCATTTACTTGATTATAGAACATACAGAAAGCATAAAGGTAGTATAGATTTTTAATTCTTTAATAAAGACTTTCAAATATTTTTAATTGTGTTTGTCTGAGGGGGATATATGAATATGAGTGCAGGTGCGCATAAAGACCAGAGGTTTCAGATCCCCTGGAGCTGAACTTACAAGTGGTTGTGATCTGCCTCACATTAGTGTTAAGAACCAACTTGGGTCACCTGGAGGAGAACAGTGCACACTTTTAAATAATGAGTCGTCCAACAAAAATTTTAATTTTTTTTTTCAAGACAGGGGTTCTCTGTAGCTTTGGATTCTGTCCTAGAACACACTCAGTAAACAAGACTGGCCTTGAATTCACACAAATCCACAGGCCTCTGCCTTCTGAGTGCTGGATTAAAGGCATGCACCACTCCCGGCCAGAGAAATTTTTTATTTTATATATATTATGATCAAATTCTTTCCCTTCTCATAAATCCTCCCAAATCCCTCTCCAACTCCCTACCAACCCAATTTATGTGCTTTTCAGTTAAATTTTTTAAAAAACCCATTTTGCATTGGTCAACTACTTCTGAATATGAGATCTAATGTGGGTGGTAGACCCAGTGACACTCCACTGGAGAAAATTGATTTTCTTTCTTTAATTGATATTTATTGAGCTCTACATTTTTCTCTGCTCCCCTCCCTGCCTCTCTCCTCCCCCTTCAATCCTCCCCCAAGGTCCCCATGTTCCCAATTTACTCAGGAGATCCTGTCTTTTTCTACTTTCTACTTTCCATGTAGATTAGATCTCTCTTAGTGCCCGCGTTGTTGTCTAAATTCTCTGGGATTGTGGTTTGTAGGCTGGCTTTCTTTGCTTTATGTTTAAAAAATACCTATGAGGGCTGGAGAGATGGCTCAGAGGTTTAGAGCATTGCCTGCTCTTCCAAAGGTCCTGAGTTCAATTCCCAGCAACCACATGGTGGCTCACAACCATCTGTAATGGGGTCTGGTGCCCTCTTCTGGCATGCAGGCATACACACAGACAGAATATTGTATACATAATAAATAAATAAATAAATAAATATTACAAAAAAATACCTATGAATGAGTACATGTGATAATTCTTTTTCTGTGTCTGGGTTACCTCACTCAAAATAATGTTTTCTAGCTCCATCCATTTTCCTGCAAAATTCAAGCTGTTGTTATTTTTTTCTGCTGTGTAAATGTACCACATTTTCCTTATTCTTCAATCGAGGAGCATTTAGGTTGTTTCCAGGTTCTGGCTATGACAAACAAAGCTGCTATGAACATAGTTGAGCACATGTCCTTGTGGCACGATTGAGCATCCTTTGGATATATACCCAAAAGTGGTATTGCTGGGTCTTGAGGAAGGTTGTTTCCTAATTTTCTAAGAAATTACCACACTGATATCCAAAGGGGCTGTACCAGCTTGCACTCACACCAGCAATGCCCACAGTCTCTCCAGCATAAGTTGTCATCAGTGTTTTTGATCTTGGCCATTATTACAGGTGTAAAATGTAATCTCAGAGTTGTTTTGATTTGCATTTCTCTGATGACTAGGATGTTGAACATTTCCTTAAGTGTCTTTCAGCCATTTTAGATTCCTCTGTTGGGAGTTTTCTATTTAGGTCTGTACTCCATATTTTTTTATTGGATTATGCGATATTTTGGTGTCCAATTTTTGAGTTCTTTTTTTATTTTGGCGATCAGCCTTCTGTCTGATGTGGGGCTAGTGAAGATCTTTTCCCATTCTGTAGGCTGTCGTTTTGTCTTGCTGACCGTGTCCTTTGCTTTACAGAAGCTTTTCAGTTTCAGGAGGTCCCATTTATTAATTGTTTCTCTCAGTGTGTGTGCTGCTGGGGTTGTATTTAGGAAGGGGTCTCCTAGGGGCTGGAGAGATGGC